GTTGAAATTTCATAAACACAAGCTTAAAGAGCTCATCAATGGTGGTTTTGGGTGGTTGCAAATATTGATGACAATGGCATTATGGTAAATAAGGAGAAATGTTTAGGGTGTAATAGGTTTTTAATAATTTTCGAAAATAAAATCAGATTTAAAAATAATGGCAATTTGGTAAATAAGTGGAAACATGAGGAGAGTTTAGATTTTTAAGAGTGAATAGTAATGGACAAAAAAAAGAGGTTGGTTTTGTGTTTGACTTGAAATTTTAGGTTGGTTTTGCAAAACCCCCCGGAAATTATTATAAATCTCTTCAGTATGCGTATATAACACATAAGTCAAACCTTACAAATCCTATACATATGCTATATTTTATATGATGAACATTATAACAGAAGTGAGAATATTGGTAACCCCAAAACGTCTCTTTCGTCTGACATATTAATAGTATCGCACATCAGTAGAGAACAATCCCTTTATTTATTCATATAGCTAATTTACATTTTCTTTTCATGAAATCCTAATTATCTTTCTATCCGTGTATTTCCACCTACATAGCCCTATTTTTAACGTATAACTGATTCTTTTAATATTTTGGTTAACTGAATCCAAATATATCAGTTCAGTTTAAGTTTAATACTCGTTTAGTTCATGTGTCCAAAAATGTTTTCATTCAGTAGTGTTGTAATTACCTGGTTCAGTTTGGTATTTCTCAATTTGAGGAGATTTAGTTTGGGGTTTTGCCCACATTGACCTTGTTCAACTATAAGCGTCCTTTTTCAGTTTTCTTCCACTTACTAGCATTCGTGCCATTTCAATCTCATAAAAAAACGTCGTGCAGCTCACTTGTCTCCATATTGAACGCTGTGTCGTCTCTCCCACAATGCCGCCATTGTACAAATCGCTTCCGTTTTCAATTTTTTCGCCCCCCAAATCTTTCTATACTTTCCCGCCTTGCCAGAAATGTTAAAAATTTTCGGTTTGGTATTTTTCGATTCCTCCCCCCACTCTCGTTCTAAATTGTTCCTCAGCTTATAAACGAATCGACACAAACCCTAAAACCGCAGAATGCCGACGTCGCAGCTATTACCCGATTCAAGCGGCGAAGGTTTCCGTTGGGAAGCAGCTGGCCGGATTCTTCAGTCTGGCAAATCCGATTCTCCGCCAACCGAAGCTCCTCCTCTACCTTCCATGGCGGATCTCTTGCTCCGAGGTGATTCTTTCTTTATTTCCCCTCTTCTGTTGATTCGTTTCTCATGTGAGGGAGATTTAATACTATTCTTTGATGAAAGGATGCTCGAAACTTATAGAACCAGAGGAATCGAAGCCAACAATGTTCACGACTGCTTCGGGAAAATCCGTAGCTCTTAAAGAGTCTTCGATTTCCAGAGCCAAATTGATTTTAGCAGATTCAGGTGCGTTGTTTTAGGAAAGCTCTTTTATTTTCTTAGAAATGTGTTATTGTCTCATTTTTTTTTTTCAGTCTAAAAAGGGTTTAAGGTAATAGATGAAATGCTTTCAGGAAGACGATTTGAATGGTCTTTGTTGTTATTTTCACGCTGTTTATTGAGAAGAACGAATCAACTTACTATCTTACTTTGTCAAGTGAACTGACTATTAAAATTGACTGGTAACAACTGATATGTTACTTACCTTTCTATTTGTGTAGAAAATAACGCTCTCTCCAGGGAGAGTGGGTTTGGTGTTCCCAACTCCTTTTTACAGACTGCTTCTGACAAGAAGGTTAATGTGTCTTCTGCTGGTATGGCAAGAGCCAAGGCCTTGTTAGGACTTGAAGAAGATGATTTTAGTGGATTCAAACACGTGAACCATTTACCTTCTTCCCACCAGCAACATGGATTAGGAACTCCTGAGGCATCTAGAGTTACATCGGTTCAGCATCGTTCTGTTACTCCAGGAGGACATTATGAGGGTCATGTATCTGGGAAACGCTCTGAAGGTTTAAGTTCATCTCCAAAGGTTCCTCAAACAAAGTTTCAAACTGCTGGTGGGAGATCACTGTCTGTGTCAGTCGAAGCCTTGAATCGTGCAAGAAGCCTTCTTGGAGACCCTGAGTTAGGGCCTTTCTTTGACGATGAAGCAACATGTGGTCACTTTGTTACACCACAGAAAGATAAATGGATAGGTGGCGATATTGCTCATGAAGCAAAGACAAGCAACAAGCATACATCTAATAGTTTTATATCTCCTCTTCAATCATCTTCAAAGCAATTTAGATCAGTCAAATTGGAGGACGTAGCTTCAGGGGTTAATTTGATCAAGAAATTTGATGCGGCTGTTGATGAGACACATGGTCTATCAAATAACAGGCCTTTAGCATCTGATATGGCAGTTAATAAGACCACGGGAAACGCTTACATTCCAAGAGCTACACAGTTTGGAAGGCAAGCTCACCAGCCACTTGTCGATATCACAAATCGCAGTGATATCGCTTATGCAAACAATAGACAAGAAAGTAGCCAAAAGAAAAGACTGGGAAAGACAGTCTCCATTCCTCCTTTTAAAAGGCCGAGAACCTCCTCCTTTAAAACTCCTCTAATGAAAAATGACCAGCATGCTTCAAGTGGTAAAATATTCAGGAAACTTTTTTTCTGTGAATTTGTTTGGTTGGCTCTCAGATTCATAACTGTTGGTGTCCTGTCTATTATCAGGTTTGCCTGTCGTATCTTGTGATACACAATATTCCAAAAGGGTGCTTTCTACAAGACCTGAAGAAGGGTCTCCAAGAATATATATCAAGGATTATTTTGGAATACGTCCAACAGCTACGACCAAGGTAAAACTCTTTCCTTCCTTTCACATGTTCCGGTGTTACATATATTACCTTTTCCGTTTTCACTCACTCAAACCACGTTTACGGGCTGTTTTAAGATGGATGTGCCAGAACATGTCAGAAGAATCAAATCAAGTAATGCAGATAAATATGTATTTGGTGATGTATCTTCCTCAAGCGTGGTGGGAGCTGAAACTTTTCTTCACATGTTGGCAGAATCTGGTGCTTTCTCACAACGTGCATCTAGAGAGTAATTTCTCGGTTCCCTTGAAATGTTTTAATTTTAAAGTTACCCATCTTGTTTGCGTATTGTATCGGAATAAGTTTGTGACTGATCTGACGTGAGTCTAATATTATTAGATAGACAGTCAAATAGAGCAATAATTTTACACCTGTTATCTATTTATCTCTATATGTATATGCACTAGGTGGGTCACCAATCACTACAGGTGGATAGTCTGGAAACTCGCTTGCTACGAGACATACTACCCAGCCAAATGCAGAGGAAACTTTCTGACAGTCACCAATGTTCTCCAGGAACTAAGATATAGGTTTCCACATCATTCAATATAACCTTTTTTGTTTTGCTTTTAACTTGTATTATTAAAGCTAATGCAAAGTCTAACATGATTAATCTACCTACATAGATATGAGAGAGAGGTCAATCATGGTCACTGCTCTGCAATAAAGAGGATTCTGAGTGGTGATGCTCCAGCTTCTTCAATGATGGTGCTCTGCATATCTGCTATTAATCCAAACACTCGAGAAACACATGGTTCTGATAGTGGCATCAATGTGAAAATAGAACTCACTGATGGGTGGTATGAATTTGCTATTGTTGTATTCAAACCTGTTTTCTTGCCTTCTTTCCTTATGGAAATTTTTCTTAAAACAAAATTCACAGGTATTCAATAAATGCTGCTCTGGATGTCATGCTGAAAAAACAGCTGAATGCTGGAAAATTGTTTGTTGGGCAGAAACTTCGGGTATGTTATTTCTTGCAAGCTTTAAATATTTTGTTTGGCAATACATATTTTTGGTCAGATCATTACTTCCTGCATGCTCACATTCTTATTACTTATTTGAAGATACTCGGGGCAGGACTTTCTGGCTGGAGTATCTCAACATCACCTCTTGAGGTTTCATAGACTTTGAATTTTCTTTTAGACTTAGTTAAAATCCTCTCATTCCCATGTTGGTTTCTTCATGGTTTTATTCAACCAAACTTTCAGGCAGTGATTTCGAATGCAATCTGTTTGGTGTTGAATATTAATGGGACATACAGAGCTCACTGGGCGGACCGACTAGGATTCTGTAAGTAGCTTTTTGCTGTGTGCTCACTACTACATCCTCTGAGTTTCTTATTTCATAGCATTTTGTGCTTTCATATTGTTTTCCTTATATTGTCTTTTGATCTCTTCTTCAAGGTAAAGAAGTTGGTGTCCCTCTGGCTCTCAACTGTATCAAGTGCAATGGGGGCCCTGTGCCTAAAACGCTAGCTGGAATTACACGAATATACCCTATCCTATACAAGGAAAAGTCAGTATAAATGTATGCCTTTTAATGCAGTTTGGTGCCCTGTATACTGATGGCAAAAAGACTTATACTTGCTTGGTATTACAGGTTAGGTGAAAAGAAGTCAGTAGTTCGATCAGAGAGGATGGAATGGAGAATGATCGAGCTGCATAACCAGAGGCAAGTCTCTATTACTATCTGCAGAGAGCATCTTTTAGTGACGTTTATGAGATCAATTCAGAACATGCATCTCTTGTCTATGGAGTGTTATCAGTAACTAATCAAAGATAAAAAGGCTCTGTTACATACGATCTGTATATGATAAAAATCTTCTGGCCTTTCTGAATGTGGATGGGTTTTCCTATTATTCTAGTCAACAGACGAGCTAAAGTTTGCAGTTCTTCTCAAACTTACCTGTCATTTTTTAAATGTTCTGTTTGCCTGTAGGCGCTCAGATCTTATAGAGGGTCTTATATGTGAGTACCAGGGAGGAATCAATGGTGTCCGTAGCCAGAACGATACTGACAGCAAAGAAGGAGCCAAGCTCTTTAAGCTGTTAGAGTCTGCTGCTGAACCTGATTTCCTAATGGCAGATATGAGTATGGAAGAGTTGAACTGTTTCAATAGATATAAAGAAAAGTTTGAGGTAGAATATTGTCTATCTTTTCTGGATAGGTCGTTATAGTTCTAAATTAAATTAACTGTTTTAATCTAAAACCTCAGGCGGCCATGAAAAAAAGGATGGAAAAATCACTTGCAAAAGCTCTGGAAGACGCTGGCTTAGGTGAGAGGGATGTCACTCCATTCATGAGGATTCGGCTTGTTGGACTGACGAGCTTAAGTTATGATGGACACCCAAATCCAAAAGAAGCCATTTTAACAATCTGGAATCCAACGGAGACACAGGTATATTGAAAAGGCCTAGTCTCTGAATGGTTCCATGCGCTTTTTCTAATGCGTTATATAAGATTACGAGAACCTTTTTCATATGAGCTGAGATTTCAGGGCGAGTTCATATCAGAATTGTGACGACATGGTTGAGAAAATTTTGTTACTTGTAGATTCTTAAAACGGTTGCCATTTTCTACCACTGACAGAGAACCGAGTTGACAGAGGGGAAAATATACGCAATGAAGGGGCTGGTACCAATGAACATAGATTCAGAAACACTGTACTTACATGCCAGAGGATCTACCTCAAGATTGCAGCCTTTGTCTCCAAAAGCTTCTGAAAATTTTCAGTAAGTTGTTTTGTGGGCTTTCTGTAGACATATCTGAATCTATCTTATCTGCTTGTTTATTTTTCAGGCCATTTTTCAACCCCCGTAAATCGATGTCATTGTTGGATCTTGGTGAAATTCCTCTTGGAAGGTTGATAGCTTTTGTTTATGTTCACTCTTACCAAACGTACTTTTGCTTATCTAACATATCTTATATCATCATCCTTTTAGTGAATTTGATATGGCGGGGTACGTTGTATATGTTGGAAATGCATACACGGATGTTGACCAAAAGAAGCAGTGGGTGTTTGTTACAGATGGATCCTTACAATATTCAGATTCAGGGAACATCGCAAATAGTCTTCTCGCTATAAGCTTCAGCACATCATCCATGGATGACCTCCACACTCCCCTCATTAGCCATAATGTTGTTGGATCTGTGGTAAAATTCAAAATCTTGTTAACGCAATCAAATGGCAAGAGCGTTTTACACTGTGAAAATAAATGTTGTTTGGCAGGTAGGGTTCTGCAATCTAATAAAAAGAGCCAAAGATGTGGAAAACGATATGTGGGTTTGTGAAGCGATGGAGAACTCGGACTACTTCTTAAACGCAGATGCTGCTTGCCCTTCTCACCTCAAAACCACCAGTGGCCATATCCAAATATGGGCAAACCTCTCTTTTTCTAAATCCGTCAGTTCTTTTTCTATTATTTAATATATAATCTTTTACCAAATGTTTAGATGATTGGATTCAGCTATTCTTCTGACAGCTGCTCTTGCTTTTTTTTTTTCAGATCATCCACCAACTTCGGCAAAGAGCTCTATTTATTGTCGGTGCTTATTAATCACGACCATGCACAGCAGCACAGAGTGTATTGCACACATATATATGTCTTTTGTGGGGGATAGTTAAGGCCAATTGGATCCGTGAGTACCGTTAAACGTAATGATATTTTCTCCCCCCGTACTTGGTAATCTCATCAAGGACAACATTCTAAGCAATGTGTAAAGTATGTCTTTTGAATTTTAAATACGTCTTTCTCAAAGGGTAATTTTAATGATTTATATAATTCACCAAGTCTCACTAGAATTTCTTTTTTTCTGTTTTCCATTTTTTAGTCTAACTCAACGTCGATGTCGTCTAGTAGTAGGATTTTAAAGGATACAAAACAATCTAAACTGAAGATTAGAGAGTTTGGTTTGGCTTTAGCTAAGAGGGGAAACCAATCAGTAAAATTTTAAATTATGTTTGGTTATTGGCTGAAAAATTATCTTTACTTTTTGTCTTTTGCCTACTAAAACAAATGTTTTTAAATTCGACCAGGACATTTAACCGAATGACTTACTGGGTTATTGGGTCACTTGGTTGACTGCGTGTGAATCGTGGGTTAATAAATGAAACTTTGTTATATAATAATATATTAGCTATGAAAATAAAAAATATAGAAACTAATGTTAAATATTTTCTTAATGTTTTTAAAACATAAAATGTATAAATATACAAAATAACAAAAACTAGTTTAGACTATTTTTTTTTTTTTTATAACAAGTTAGGAGTAATGACATCTAAAAAAATCAAGATATAAAATTCATAAATATTTTAATGTCTAATGAGAATAATAAATTAAACTTCAAATCCAAAATAAACAAAAGTTAAACATCATTGTAATAAATGATCAATAACAAAAATAAACTAACACCAAATTACATCAACTAATTTTGATTCTCGCAACTACCATTCAGTTCATTTTCTTCAGGTAGTATAGTAAAATCTTCATCAAAATCTAAAATCACAAATAAAATAGTGTAGTAGTATTATGTATGATAAAAAGTTTAATTTAAATTTAAAGAAGAAAACGGCAATGCCAATAACTAAAACGTGAAAACCTAACTTTTAAATTAGAAATTTAGAATATAAAACATAATTTAAAACTAAAAAAAAAGTAAAAGTTTATTTATTGGTTCAACCCGTGGTTCAACTGGCATCAGGTCTTGGATTTTAGTGGGGTTTTCCGGGTTTTTGCGTCTTTTAAAATTTTGGATTTTTAACAAAACCCGAACAGATTTATTTTAAATTAGAAATTTAGAATATAAAACATAATTTAAAACTAAAAAAAAAGTAAAAGTTTATTTATTGGTTCAACCCGTGGTTCAACTGGCATCAGGTTTTGGATTTAAGTGGGGTTTTCCGGGTTTTTGCGTGTTTTAAAATTTTGAATTTTTAACAAAACCCGAACAGATTTATTTTGGGTCACCGGGTTTACCGGTTCAACTGTGGGTCTGGATCGGGTTTCAAAACACTGACTAAAACCTAATCTCATCTTCTTCTTTTCGTACCAAACACCAATCTTGTTCTCTTCTTCTTCACCATAACTCATTGCATCTTCTTCACCACTTCATCTCCCTCTTCATCACATACGATTATCTTCTTTTTTCTTAAACTTGTTTAACTCTCTTCATTTTTCTTCTTTACTGCTTTTAACAGGTACTTTTTGTTTTTTTGTTTCACTTATCTTTTCTCTATTTTTCTTGATAAATTGGAGTTTGATTACATTTTGTAAAAAAAATTAACAAAAAACAAAACTTTGAAAGTAAAGTTTAGAAACAAAGTAATTGTATCTGGACCGAAATAACTGAGAACCCATACTAATTTAACGGAACTATCCAGAGTAACTGAACTCACAGGCCTAATGTTGTCTATGTAAAAGGTCGAACAAAACATATACAACAAAATCGCATATCGGTAAGATATAACGAGGGAAAGGTTGAAGACATCTATAAATAGTCACACATAGTTGAAGTTTTACTTACAATTGAGCTTGTATTATAAGCCCATGTTTCACTAAATAGTGCAAATTTATTCTCTTTTGAGTTGGTTAAACTTTGTTTTACAACTGATTAGTTTTTTTTTTATCAGCCAAGTTTTCAGTTTTCATTTAGCTAAGCTGATTTGTCTTTAACTGCGGCTAGATGTCGAGTGCCTAGCCGGACGATTAATTGGCTAGTCGTCCAGGTTTTAGAATAGGGGTCTAATTCGACCGATTGTGGTAATCTCCATATCAACCATGGCTCAAAGCTTTCCAAACCGTATTGTGACTGAGAATTATGTTAGTTTATACACAACAAATATCATTTGACACTCGTAAACTTTAAAAAAGCTTCCTTATAGTATCTTGGGTTGAGTTCTTAAACTAAAGTAGTCTACACCAGAATCTCCAGACTTTGTAGCTCCTTGGAAAAATCTCATACTTATAAACTTCATCAGTTTTGATACCCTAAATTATACTTTGGAATCAAATCTTCACATTCGATGAAAATTTTCCAAGTTTTTAATTAAATAAAATACATTTAAAATCTCGTTAGCCTAAAATCTAACCAGATAACATTTCTGACTCGATAAACTCCAAGTGTTAAGCTTTAAAATCCAAATATCCAAACACGACGAAAGATTTATCTTCTTCCTTCTCACTTATATCAGGGTTCATATTTACAAGGAGAAGAGTGAGAAAACTTGCTTGAGCTCGACTTTTAGCTTTGAAATCAAATCGGTATAGTGGACCAAAGTAGAATAGAGTGTCTCTACAATTTTGATTTTGTAAATGTGAGAGTTAGATGTTACAGAAACTAGAACACAACAATAAGTAGGATCTAGATGGTTTAGGGGTTTGCTTTCTTTGTTGCTTCTGTACTGTTGTGCATTCACATGAAAGACACCGGAAAGTTAATAAGCGACAAAAAAAAAAATCTAGACTAAACCTCTTTACCTAGTCTAATAGTGAATCAAACACTCCCCAGTACCGGTGCCAAATTTGATATGCTCAAATTACCCTAGAAAAATTCTCTCAAATAAGAGATCAACTGCAGCACTTAAGGATCGAATCCATAGGGAGAGTGAATCACTCAATAGACTCTCAGTTATAGCCTATAGGTAAAGCTAGGTCAATAATATAAAATAATAATTCAAAACAAAAAAATAATTTTGGTTTGTAAATAAATGTGACCAACAACTTAACTCAGCATGATTCACGTTAGGTATTGATTAGACTCTTGTGTCTGACAATTATCCTAAGATAAAGTTTCTAGTTAATTACTCAAGAAACAAGCAATAAGATCAATCATGCTGAAGGATGCAATATGATTACCTAGCAGTTCTATAAATCAGAAGTTCATGAAAACCCTAGAAAATCCCTAAATCTAATAAGTAAACTACTCAGACAATTCATGCAAGACATAAAATATATCTTATTAATGATCTACATAAACGTATAAGAGTAAGAAATACTGGAGTTCCAAATGGATCCCTAATCTTCATAATGCTTCAAAACGTGGCTTAACCTGAAAAAGAGACTTGAAATTAATAATAAAGACTCTATAAAGGATTCATATCATGGTTAAAACGGTAAAAAACCATGATACATCAAGCATTCACATCTTCATCTATCTTGGCCTTTCCATTCCTCTCTCCTCTTTAATCTCCCCTCCATGGATATATATTATGACTGCATGCCTCACTCTGGTCCTTGTAATTTATTTTCACACCAGTTACATTATCCTTATTGTAATATTCTTTTATCATATCCATTTATGTGGGATCATTCACATATTATTTTGATATAATTTTACGCATGTTGCATTATCCTCTGGGGAAATCTTATATGTTCATGTGCCTCCCCACAGGTCCTTATTTCTTTATTTTTTATCCACATGTACATCCTTCATTTACTTGTGTTTCTATTGGGACTTGCCTTCATGTGCTCCCTCTGGGGTTTTACCAGTTGAGCTTTTTCTCGGCTTCCCAATGAGATTTCCTTCGTAAGCTTTCTTGTTAACTTACTTGCCAATTAGGACTCGATTTCCCCAGTAATAGGTTATCTCCTCCAAGAGATTTCAACGGGTCATTTTGATCCACATACTCCATAAGGGTGTTTCACGACTTCTATAATAGACAAAAGTTTACCAAGTAATAACAACATGAAGAATTCTAGGAAATATGGGGTTTGGTTAACTCCTCCAAGAAATGTCATGCTTACTACTTTCCCGAATGAACATGATGTTAAAGGATTGACCCCTCCTCGTACTAGCACCCGCACACGTGTGAAATCTTTTCTCCCTCTCAAAATTTCCCTGTCGACCCTTGAAAAGGTATTGAACGAGTTAAATAATAAGCTATGGTCCAAACACAATGGTCAGAGAGGGTATGTGCACCCATTAAACTAAATTGTGGATTGGTAATCTTGAATCACTCATCACCAAGTAAATTAATATAGCTCAATCACTCATGGAAGAATTCATGTTCTTTAGAAAAATTGTTGGGGTTCTCCTTGGTGAAGATAATAATCCTTAGTCCTAAGCGTTACTATCTGTGTGGTCCACCCATGACACACAGAAAAAGTAGAAAAACTTCAGACTATCATGACAAATGGAAGCCAAACTGAACTCTTTTATACATCGAATAACATAACCTACAAGGAATGAAACTTGGTCAAACCCCTCCAGAAAATCACTTAATTAGGTGTAATTTCGGTATAACAAGTAATAGTTTCTTATCTTACATTTTTTTTAGGAGTGCACAGTAAGAATTGAAAACTCTCGCCTTTTCACCCTGAACAAACTAAAACTCTAGGCAATAGACCAAATTTATCTTGTCAACTCCCGGAAAAATGCATGTCAAATGACAGCCCGCGAGTCTGCAAACTTGTTACGGGCGAATAAAACTTTATTGTTTTGAGAAATCTGCTATGGCCATAACAATAATCTACTATCTACCAGATTTCCAGTATGTTTAAATCCATGAATCGCAGGAAAAAGGTGAATGGAAATCCTACTTTGTAATAATGTATTCTCTATACAAGAAGGAAAAGAAATTCAATAGAAGGTAAGTTAGAGGTCCATCATAAACATAATAAAAAACAAGGGTTAAGGGGAGAGCTCAAACACCACTCATCTTATCAGATTCAGAAATTGGTATATAGTCTTGGGTTGCCCTCGGAGATGATAGACGTTTGCATCGACAACTG